AAGTTTTGGAGGCTCAAAGGAGCCCCAAAGTGGCTACTGTAATTTTAAATTATCCCAGGTTATCTTGATCCAAGGATCCAACCATTTACAGTTGTCTCCATTTTGTTAAGCACTTGCAACTATCTACTCCACCAAATGTATTGTACATGAAGTCAGTCAGAATTCCAGGGGAGGCTGCCTTTTGGGAGCTGGTCAGCTTTTAGAAGTGTAACTTTCTATTTTCTTTTAGTATGGTTTTACTACAAAGTCTGAACAACTTCTAAGGACCTATTAAACAATTTGTTCAGACTTTATAGAGAAAATTTCTTCCAATTTAAAGTCAAATTAAACAGGCCAGCCTGCTCTGTTCATTCCAAAGTTCCCCCTAGGCTCCCCTGACTTAGGAAATTCCTCCTAGGTTTCTCTTGCCTAGGGAATTCCCCATAGATTCCTCTTACCTAGGAAATGTACCAGCAGTCCCTTAAGATGCCTTGTCTTAAGACTTGAAGCAGCTCAATTAGGAGTCAGGATCTACAGCTTAAATAAAGAGGTCCAGGCTTCAGGAAAACTTACAAGGGCCACCTGAACTGTGTAGTGAAGCCAGAAGGGCTCAATGGGCCATAGTGGCACAAGCAACAGTTCAAAGTGTATCCAGGTGGTCTCCAGTGGGTTCTCAGAAATCTTGCCTCACTATGCAAGAAATGTCGATGCAAAATAACCAATAACCATTCTATAGATAAAAGAAATAAGATGAGTTATACTTGAGCCAGAGTGAGGATTATATCCCCACCAAGGCCTTAGAAAACATTCCAGAGAAGGATCGTTTTCATTACAGTCTTGTATCTTTTTAGAACAAAGAACATACATATTAAACACACCCAGGATACATTTTCGTCAAACTTTCAAAGAGGTATTCAGTTGCAAATTAGCAGGTCAACTTGACCCTGAGGTCAGGAAAGGGACTAATCTGGGCATTAACAATAGGGCATAGGAGGGGAAGTATGCATTCTTATCTTGAGATTGCATTCCCTAATTTAATGTTTAAAGCAGAAATACAATGTATGTTTAATAGGCCACAAGTCAGGTTTCTTTAGTTCAAGCTGAATCAGTTTTGAACAAAAATAGTTACTTCATATACCTCAATATGTGAAAATCTCTTGTTAGAACTAATGGGAACAAAATAACAACTAGTGAAGTCGGAATTCAGATGAAAGCTGTGAAAGCTTTCACTGTTGTGTTTTGTCCTAATATTCCATCTGCTAAATGAAGTTGCAGGGAATTATATGAAATATAGTGGATTAGAGGGCATCTGTGCACAGGATGTCTTGAATTAACAGTGAGCTTTGCATTAGACCCCTTTAACTATGTAACCTAGCGTCAACAGTAAAATGTAGGCTTTCTCCACTTCTTCAGTTTTATTCAAATGGAGAAATATATTAAATTATATAGGGTTCTCTCCATTGCCCCTGGGGTTGTAAAATTATATAGAAAAGAGGGAGAAAGGGAGGGAGGGAAGGAAGTAGGGAGGAAAAGAGAGGAAGAAAAACAGGAAGTGTCACAAAAATGGACATTTATGATGATTTTTGAGTGTTAAATTTTATATCATTTGATTGAATTTTAACTCTGTCTTTCTGACTATCATGCCTTCCCATGGCTTTATTTTCTTCTTCAGGATTAGATCTTTTGTGGACCCCAGAGCTCTTGCTGCTTTCCTCCTCTTTCTAAGTCTTCTTCCATCTTCCTCACAGCTGGTGCTCCCCATCCAGCTTCTGGGGCAGATCATCCCCTGAAGCCTGAGAGCCGAGCCTCCTCTCTCTCTGGGTCCCCCCCTTTCTAGAAATTGGGGAGTCTGACTGGGCTTCTGTTTAACCCTTCCCTAGCAAGAAGTCCCTGCTCTGCTAACCCCTGAAAGTACTGGCTTCCCCTTTCCCTGGAGAGGGAAGTTGGAGGATGAGACTACAAGACCTGCTGAGATCCTGGTGATCAAAGTCCTGGGAGAGAGGAGCCCTGGGGAGGACAGGGAAAGGGTGGGAGAGCTGATGGGCAGCTCCTGCAGGAGAGAAGCTCTGGGTGGGAAGAGAGGAGACCCAGGTTCCAGGTCTGGCTCTGCCCTGTGTGATCCAGGACAAGGTCATCCATCAAGGGGCCTCCCGCCCTGTGAAAGGAGGGGCCTGTTCAAATTCCCTCTAAGTCCCCTCCCAGCTATGACATGCTGAGATTTATGCATCCACCCAGACAGGACTCTCCTGTGGCTACTTCAAGGTCTCCCTCTGTCTCTTCATCTTGTCTTGTCCCATTCCTGTGGCCTAAGAGGGATTGCCAGCTGGTAAACCTGTTTAGAGCACCTTCAAAGAGAAGACCCCTGGCAGTCCCTGTGGTCACTTCCTCAGCCCTCCAAGGAGAGAGGGAATCCTCCTCTTCAAGCCTCTTCTTTGGGATCCAGCCTGGCCCTCTGTTTTCTCTCTGTCTGCTCCTGAGAGGAGTCTCAAGGCCACCTGGAAGGACATCATCTTCTTCCCCCAGTGTGTGGGACTACATCTGCAAACCCTGCTCAGGAAAGCATGCTACAGCAGTGCTACTCAGAAGCAGTTAACTGAGAACCTCGGCTAGAGCTTCTCAGTTTCTGTCTGTCGAGCAAGAAATACCAATTTCTTTCTATCTGTTCCCCAGTACTGACCCCCTCTTACCAATGCCGGGGGGAATAGACAAATGTTGTATGGTCAGAATTGCTGGTGAAAATCCCTTAGGAAGGTGCCACACTGGAAACTGAAATGCTGTCTCTCAGTACAGCCATCTGCACATTTCCCCATTGGAACCCGGGTGTTCCTTTGAGCCCCAGGTTAAACAGAGCGCTTATGGTTAGTGTCCATCGCTGTACCCAAAACTGCATATTTCAACATGCGATTACCTCAGAATGCCGTGATTGACTGAGGTGTTAAAAAATACCTTGATTTCACTCATTAATTAATGACAGAACCAGTAGCCTATTAGAACTGGTTCAAGGGAAGAGCAAGAGACCACACCCATATAAGTCATCACAAATGTTGGAATTGTTACCGAACACAAACATAGGTTCGTTTACTCATTGCACAGTAGTGCCAAAAAACGGAAACATCAGGCTTGTGGCAAGGAAAGAGGGTTTATTACTATTGAAAGGCAGGCAGATGAGGAGTTGGTAATTAGAACTCTGGTCTACCTCCTCAAATGGAAAAAGAAAGGGTTTTTTATCTGGGGTTTTAGGCAGGATGTGGTGCATGTGGCCTTGCTCATTGGTGTCTTCCCAACAGCCTACACTAGGCTTTGAAGATTTAATTTCTTTTCCCTTCACTCTCTGGACTTTTCTGATCAGTTTTCATCTTAAGACTGTGTTTGGCCTTAGGAGGCTGAATCTTGATGTCTGGACCTTGACTTCCTGGCAAAGAGCTCACTCATATGCTAAGGAGGGATGGGAAGACCTGGTTAGCTTTGAACAACAGTTGACCATGTTGAATATTCACAGCTGCAGTCAGCAAAGCCTATCTCAACATTTTGGCTCTAGGGAGGATTTTTTAACTCCTTAGTTCTCAGTTTCAGAATGAATTTACAAACAGATGCCCTGTGTTTACAGAGTTTATGGTATTTGTGGTTACATAGAGAAAGGTATGGAAGGATACATGTTAATAACAGTGCTTACCTTTGGAGGAGGCACTCTTTGAACTTTTACTTGAATCAATTCCATAATCTATATAGTAGTTTTTTATGAACACATTATACTTTTACAATTACAAAGCAACTTACTACAGAAAGGGGAAAATGCCCACACCAAATTGAGTTGAAAATATAAATTTTCTCAACTCAAGCTTGAGACAACATGTAGCCTGTCTTTCCTCCATCTTTACCATTATCCCTGGCAGCACAGACGTCCTTGGGTACCTGGCAACATGGGAGTTGACAGTGGCCATGGAAGTCAGCTGCTCTGGACACAGCAATAAACTTCCATTCAGTCTGAGGGCTTTGGAAAACAAGAAGGCCCTGGGTAGACTTTGACTCCTTACAACCATCTATGGGATCACACCCATGGGTGTCTGACTCCCTGGAGCCTGTAGGGGAGGAAGACATTTCCTCTACCCAATGTGGGTTCGTCTGTCCAGAGGATGAACTAAACTCACATGAGACAGAATAGCAGGAGAAAATTAAACAAAGCTTTATAACATGTATACATGGGAGATGTCAGGCAAGCTGAGCAACTCGCCAAATTGGCTGAAGTCCCCACTTAAATATCATCTCCAGCTAAAGACAAAGGAGGATGTTGGGGTGGAGGGAGTCAGTTACAGGAGGTTACCAGACAAGCACAATAAACAAATGCAGATTTAAGTCCTTGCCTTCCCCATTGATTAAGACTTTCTAGAGATGAGGTCATCCCCGCGTCTTCCTGGTAGAGAGGGAGATATCTTTACAGATGGAGATTTCCTTTACAATGTAATTGTCTTACAAAGGGTAAGTAAATTCTACTTTTCAGTTGCTTTCCTGTCTGCAAAGTAACCAGCCTCAAATAATCATCATGCCAAAGAGACATATCTTGGGGTGGCCAATTCCAGGCCCCCACAAGCCCATCACTGTACCCAGTTGGAGACCCTTGAGGGGACAGCTTGGGGAGAGGAAAGGGCACTACTCTGGGACCTGAGAATGTCTGGTTCTGATGCCAGGTGGGCTTGGTCAAGAATAATCGTCATCATAATGTGAAGGAACATATTTATGGAACAATTATCGACCACTGTGCTGAAAGCTTTTATCTTCTTAAATCCCCACAATAGTTCTGTGAGGTAAGCACTGTTAATATTTCCATTTCACAGATGAGAAAGGAAGAGAGGTTAGATAACAGCTCAAGTCCACACAGCCAGAAAATGGAGGACCTGGACTTCAACTTAAGTGGAGCTTAAGTCTTGCTGACTCTAAAGTCCAAGCTCTCCCAGATCATGTTCAGGTGCTCTGTGACTGCCACAGCCCTGCACTCCAGGGTGATGTTACTCCACCTGGGTGTGATGGACAGTGACCAGACCAGGATCTTGGGAAGGGGTACAGGTTCTGGGGTAGGACGGTCAAGAGAATGGAGCCTTATGTGAGTGGAGAACATTACAATTACAT